GTTCATTAGGGTACGGTAAATACCTGGTCTTATGCTGGAAAATATAAAATCCTTTATGTGCAGTGTATAACAATGCCTTACATATCTTTCCGCACAGATTGAATTTTAGAATTCAGTTTAAAATTTCTAACAAATTACCACAATTGATTAACACATTTACATATCTTTACAGTATCGTTCAACTATTAATAAGCAATAGGTCTTCCTCTCGTTCCAAATCATCGCTTAGCAATCACATCCGTCTTAGTTGTTTACGCTGTTCCGTTTGGTTCACTTTCCTTGGAAGGGTCTACAAAAAATAAGAAACTTCTCCAGTGAATTATCCCTAAAGAATCTTTGTCAGAAAAGCACTCCTTAGCCTCTCAAGCAATTGACCAGGTGCCAACAGTGATGGCGTAAGTGTGAATAAGAACTAAAAGGGTAGCAAAGTATAGTCAAAGTACGTGCATGGTGGGTGTCATTGTGGAAAATTTAAACTTACTGAATTAGGATTAACATGAAAAATTCCGGCCTTGTCTCTGTTTCAGAGCTTCCCAACCATCCAATGAAAGGCTTTATTTGCTCTGCTAATAGATCTTGATATTTAGCGCCAGGGATTTACGAAAGCAATTAAATTCACCAAATTGAAACACCCTCATTCGTTCTATAGTCATAGGAAAATTTTGCGATGAGTATCGTGAAATAAAAAACAGAGAAGTCGCCACAGCCGATCTGAACTAGCCGGTGTCAACATCGCCAGGTAGGCAATGAGGACTCAAATAAAGATTATGTAAACGATCTCGTGATTGATTGAAAGGATAACAAGAGTTTCCTAGACAAATTCTGGAACATACTGGCGAAAAAAACCTTTTGTAATCTCGGAATACTATCAACATCCAAAAGAAAGCTGCTCTCAAAAAATTTTGGCTTTCTTTACCTCACCTCTTTTCCCACTATTTCACTCTCCTGATAAAAGACTCCCTTCACCGTGCTTCAAAAAGCCTTCTAATCTGATATATCGATGCAACAAACTACTTTCTCCAAATAAAACTTACCCTCACTACCAGAGTCAAACGTGATGTCATCTCCAATCAGCACGGATGGAACCCACTCTTCACATTCCCATTTGGACTGCATGCCGAGGCACTGGAAACTTTTGTTAAAAAAATCACTCAAATTACTGTCTAATCGTATACCAAGAATTTCCTCACCCACTGTCGTTCTTTTGAAATGGATTTCTCCACTCAATTTTCCTCAACTCGATCAATAAATCGCATAAAGGACCATACTTTTTTAAAAAACTTCGAGCGCTGTTTAAAAAAAGACTTCAATCCATCAGAAATATGAAGCCTTGGCAAAAATAATTTCAGACGTTGCACCAGCGCCCTGAGTCGTGTATTAACTTTACGTAATATTTGGTATGTGTGGCATACATTACCAGCAAATAGGAAGGCTGATGACGCTAATACTATTACTTAGATTTTTTCTAGAACTTTATTGGATAAAATTCTAATGTGACATTCGTCATTCCCTCTCGTCGTAAATAAGTCGATTTCTACGTCTGAAACAAACCGAACTTCCATCAGCTTATTACCATCATCGGCGATGCCATTGTCGACTTGATTTTGCAATTCAG